TTTCACATTTCTTGGAATGACTACACTTTAAATCTTTTTAAAAGTGGGACTTGAAGATAGAGGACATGAGCATTTGTGTGCTCAGTCCTCCTTTTTAAGAGGAACTGTGTGGCAGTTTTTGCTTAGAATTTCAGGTAAAAAAAAAAGTCTTTGTGCTAAAAACAGCGAGCAACTAAAAAGAGAACATCCTCTTTTCTAAAAGTTCTTTCAGTTACTTCACCATCAGGAATGTCTTACAGGCTTTTGCTCTCCATAGATTCCAGCCTCCTGACATTTGGCATAGCTCCACTATTTTCTACCAGCTCTTCCGAACAACTTCTCTCCATTTCTCTTACTAGAAAAATAAGATGCAACAGGATTCTCCACCGAAAGGTCATTGGCCGGTTAAGCCATTTTACCCAACTAAAGAATTTCAGTCATTTTTTGTTTTGTTTTGTTTTTCATTAAGTGGAGAAAGTTTATATGAAAGTTGATGTATGCAAGTCAAAGAGTTTTTTGTTTGTTTGTTTTAGCTCATTAAAGGTGGCTATGGATTTGTTAGACAAAATATCTGGCTTCTGCCAAAAAACTGACTCATATATGTGCCATAATGACTAAAAAAAAAAAAAAAAAAAGTCAAGAAAACTTCACCTAAATCCATTTTAATCCCTAACATTTGGTTCATTTCCAACATTCTGAAAAGTGACAAGTCATTTTCACTTATTACAAAAATTAATAAGAGTTGGGAAATTTACCAAACATTAGAGACAGGCCTTTAGATCTCTGTTCCTAAATATATCTTGAGTGAGGCTATTTATCAAAAGAGATAAAGTAAATCAACAAAAACAACATACTTCTGCCTCCAATTAGAAAGCAAATGTTCAGGTTCTGTGTCAACATGCAAGCCCAAAGAGAGGGAAAATATTAGAGAGATTTATTCAATTAATGGGCCCACAAGAAGAGATGCAGCTATACACTCCACTGGTCAAGGTCTAGGCATCAAAGGTCTAGGCTTGGAGCCAGTGGATTCCTAAGGCTTGTCTGGAACAGCATACATCTTGATAGCCTCCAGAGAGGGCAGTTAATTTAAAGGCAATCCTCTTCACATAGATGTTTGGGTTGCCTAAAGTGCTCATGTGTGGCAGGGGCGGGTCGGGGGGTGATGATTGGTAAGTTCGGAACTAAGGGAGTAAACACGTCCCCTTCCCTAAAGCTTGTGGTTGAGTGTAAGCTAATTATCCAGTCCTTCCTTCCTTCCCAGACCTGGTAGTCATTAGAGAGCCATGATGGTCACAAGCAAATATAGTCATAATTCTGACAGACTAGTAACAAAAAATGTTAGAGAAATTCTTCCTTTTTCAAGGAATGGTAAATTTATCTATTTCACCCATACATCACGCAAGCAAAGAGCTACGTGCATATAAACATCAAGTTGGAAAATAATAAATTCATGTAATTGTACCAAAGGATGTCCAGCTTCTGTCTCTATCTTGCATAGAAAAATGGTTTACTCAATCTGAATATTTGAGGGCAACTTTACCCAGAGTGTTACATCCTCTTTGGAAGATGCAGATTTACTTTTTCAAGGATACATATGAAAGTTACGGTGTTTACACCACAACTGTGACATAAATGGTGGTTGTCCCCAAAATTTCATCTACCTTATCTCCTATAACAGAAGTTTAGAGTCTCTCTCTAGAGCTCTAACTTCTCAATTCTGACCTCCATATAATTTAGGATTTTGAGAAACTGGCCATTTGGTAGGTAGTATTAGAAAAGATGCCTTTCTAGAGTTCAGAATTGGAAGTTTTGATTGCATTTTTTCTTAAAGGAAAAAAAATCAATGAAAGTTAAAACGAAATGATATCACTAATACTATTGATCCAAAGTCTTTAGATGGCTGCCTCAGCATCTAAGAATTTATAATATTGTTATCTATGTAAAAAAGAATGTACAATAAATTTAAAGGCCAAATTTGTTTCAAATATTATCTATTGCAATATATTGCAACTTTAAAAGAACTTCACATATCTAAAATACTTTCTCATGCAAATGTTCAGTTAATCTTCCAGTGTGTGTGGCAGAGAGCATGTTATTATTTTCATATGTCAAATGGTGCCACTGTAACAGAAAGTGTAAATGGCTTGTCCAAGTTTATTCAGTCAATAAGGAAATGCCTGCCTTTACATAGCTAGTGAGTCCCTCTACCTGCCCTTATATTCCCAGCTTCTTCCATGCTCATTTATGTGTGTTCAAATTCTTATCTTTCATATTCCCAGCTCACATACTTCACCTTTCATGAAGATAGCTCTAATATCCCCACTGATGGTGATGGTTTCTTCCTTTGACCCTATAACACTTCATCTCTCTTCCTACCATAAGTAAACTGATTTGGAATCAGAATGATTGACTTCTGTTTGGGAATATACTATCTGGGTGATCCTCACAACTAAACTAACTATAGTAACTATTTGAATGCCAGCTTCCTCATTGGTATAATAGAGAAGAAACATATATGTCCATAAAATTATGAGTTTAATTTTAATAAAACAAAGGACTCTGTGAACTAGAAAGCCCTATTCAAAGTTACTTTGTATAGCTATAAATATATAGATGTTCTTTTTATGTGCAAGTTGTATTTCCCCTATGTATGGTTGGGAGAAGACTGCACATCTAACAAATATTTGATTCTTCCATAGCATTCAATAATGCTTTGTAATGAGGCATTTGATACAAATTAGTACAATGAACTATCAAATGTATATCATATTAATTGAGGTACCTTTCAAAAAGTAGGAAGCTCATCACTACCTGCTAAACGTGTAAGGCTAAAATCTGACATCAACCTATTTCCAATCTCACTGCCCATTTCTTTTCCATCACCCTAGCTAACCTACATTTATTCTTGACTCCCTAAAATACACTCTGTACTTTTGGAGTTCCAACTTTGGGCCCAAATTATTACACTGTTTCATGTCCTATATCTATTGAAATAGTGCCCATCCTTATATGCCCAGCTCAAATGCCATTTTCCCCATGAAGTTTTCCTTAATCTCATCCCCTGGAAATGAGCACTTTCTACTCTGAAGTCCATAATATTTTTTCATATCTCTCACAGTTCTTATCATCTGGTCACATATTCTATTTTCTTGTGCATGTATTATCTAGTAATTTTTAATCTGTTAAGATCAATATTCATGTTTTAGTTATCTTTATATCCCACCAAACATATAACAGAATATCTTTCACATAGTAGGTATTCAAATAATATCTCTTTTTCTTATATTGGGTGTAGAAATAACATATACAGCTTAAATTTCTAGCTGCATATTTCTGCCTTGTAAATTGCCACAAAACCAAGACAAATCCAAACACTATAAAATGATCATCTATCATTTGAAGTCATTATTACTTCACATTCCTATAAGGAGAGTATAATATGGGGAGAAGCATATTTTACCAAAACTTAAAAAGCTACATATATATGTATATATAAAAACATTTGTATATATACATATGTATATATATAAAATACTTATATTCTGATTTTCTCCATAAAATCAAATGTAGCATATTCTTATTAATTATAGTTTTATAAGTAAATGATTATTTATTTGAAAAGTTAAATTACTCAATACTACTTTTGTTTAAAAAAGTAAGCTACTTTAGAAAACCCAAAAGTTGATATATTTTAAACCTGCATCATTTTTTCATAAGTATCACATTAACATAAATTAGCAATGATCATTATTATTGTTATTATCATGATATATTTCATTTATAACAAAAGTATACAAGCTTCACGTCTCAGGGATATTTAAATCACAGAATCCTTCATTGCCTGCTATCAGTTACTTCCTGGGGTGCTTGCAGATGTAATGCACAGATAGTCCACTAACAGTTGTCCTCCAGACAGGCTAAATGATTTCTGTGTCTTCTCATTAAGCAGAGGCTATTAGATCTCTTTAAAAAATGAATCTCTCATATTCTCTTAGATCTTAAACCTCTTCTCTATTTATATGCTCATCATTACCTACTAAATGTGAAAAGCCAAAGTCTGACTCTAACCTATCTCCAACCTCACTGCCCATTTCTTTACACCATCTTCACTGTTTTATTCCTTAATGCCAGAGAATTTCTGAGTTTTTAAAAATGCTTTGTGTCTTCTTGTCTCTTCCCCTAAAAAGAACTCTGAATCTCTACCTATTAAAATGCTACATTATTCCAGGCCTTTTCATGCTGAACTAATATTAATACAGTCAGTTGACTTGCTGAGAACTACTCTTCTATCCTCAATCTGAATAAACAAACTTGTACTCATCTATATCACAATTAACCCTTTTATAATTTGATGAGTCAGAAAGTATTACCCAGTTAACCCTTGGAAACATAAGGCTACCCAGATTCAAGCCTAGGAGATATAAACTGTAATCTGAGAAGTCACCCATACATTCTAAATCTGCTCTAACAACTTCTTTTGTGAAATGATTTAATACTGTTATTAAAGACTCTCAACATGCCCTCATTTGATATATCAGAATTAGTGGCAGGGAAAAGGGATGTGCAGATTAAAAAGGATATTCAATTTTAAGTTAAAATTGTATTCAGAATTTGAAAACATTATCTACTTTTCTTTCTAACACAAATATAAATAACATTTATGAGTACCAAAATTTTGATAGGTAGGAAGACCAATGTAAAAGTCAAAGCAATGTCACTGTATGCTAAATAACAGTGTTGGTCTTACATATAGAGTGAAATGAGTAGGTGCTCATCATCTTTCAATCAATTTATATTTGTCTTATATGTCAAATTTTCAGAAATCATGGCAATGTTTGAGGCTTCTAGTTAGAGAAATATTAAAAAAAAAATTACAACTGACAGAGAACAAAACAAAGGAAGGAGGGGAGAATCCAGAGAAAGACAATGCCATCATGTCATGTATGTGTTTAGTTAAGCATCATTTGTGTAAGACGATGATATGGCTGAAGAGTATGGACTCAGTGAATAAATGCACTTACCTCCACTAAATGAGGATTGGGATTAAAACCACAGAGGCTACAGACAGTGGTTTGACACTCAGTGCATGTGTTAAAATTGGCCTTTTCTGGAACATGCAACAGAAGTTCAGTGGTATTGCAAAGAGGACAGATGGTTTTAGGGAGGCCTTGTGAAAGAGGCTGTTTTGCAGATGGAGACATTGTTGGTGGCTGCAGAGGTTTTCCTGATCCTGTTTGGCTTACTGGTTTTGTAGATTGCTGAGCCAAGGGCTTTGCTGGGCTAGGCTGTTGAGCTGAGGGTTTTGCTGAGCCAGGCTGTTGTGATGGGGGCTTTGCTGAGCCAGGCTGTTGGGGTGGGGGCTTTGCTGAGCCAGGCTGTTGTGATGGGGGCTTTGCTGAGCCAGGCTGTTGGGGTGGGGGAGCTTATTGAGCAGCTGCTGGGGTGGGGGCTTTGCTGAGCCAGGCTGTTGGGGTGGGGGCTTTGCTGAGCCAGGCTGTTGAGGTGGGGGCTTTGCTGGACCAGGCAGTTGTGAAGGAAGCTTTGTTGGGCCAGTCTGCTGGGCAGAAGGCTTTGCGGGTCCTGCCTGTTGAGCTGGAATCTTTCCTGGCCCAGCCTGCTGAGCTGGAGTCTTCGTAGGCCCAGGTGCCTTAGCTGGAGACTGCAGCCCAGATTGTTGAGCTAGGGGTTTTGGTGTCCCCACCTGCTGGGTTGGAGGCTTTGCTGGCCCTGGCTGTTGAGCTGGAGTCTTCCCAGCTCCAGGAGGCTGAGCTAGAGTTTTTGGCCCAGGCTGCTCCAATGAAGGCTTCTCTGACCCAGTCTGCTGAGCTGGAGACTTAGCAGGACCAAGAGGCTGAGCTGGAGGCTTTGTTGTCCCTGGTGGCTGGACTGGGGGTTTCACTGTCCCTGGTTGTTGAGCCAGTGGCTTTGTTAGCCCTGGGGGCTGAGCTGCGGGCTTTGCAGGCCCAGGCTGTGATTTTTCAGGTCCAGGCTGCTGTGCTGGAGGTTTTCCAGGAGTTGGTTGCTGAATAGGTGGTTTGGATGGGCTTTGCAGAGAGGGTTTAACTGATTCTCCCTTTACTATGTCTGCCTGTTTAGTCTGAGGCCTGGATGCATCTCGTTGAAGTGGCAATTTCGCATGGTCTGTCTGAGGAGTCTGGGCAGGACCCTGAATTGGCTTTCCTGTACCTGGAGGTTGTGATTTGATTTTTTCTGGTTGCTGAGAAGATATTGATTTGGGAGGGCCATCCTGCTGAAGTGAATCCCTACCAGGTCCTTGCTGCTTAGGAACCGGCTTGGGTGGCTGTTGCTGTGAAGGAGGTTTTGTGATTCCCTCAGGTTTTCCTTGCTCCTTCGGAACCACTTTTTGTTTCTTGGTGGCTTCTTCCTGGGATGCCTCAGAGTCCGATATCAAATCAAAAGGGTTGAATTTATTTACAACAGAGGAGACAGCACTTAAAGGGTTAACCTCTGAGAGGAAGCCAGGCATCATACTAGACTTGTGTTCTTCCTTAAAATCAGTTCTGGACTTTGATTCTTTCAAGCTAATAGTGGAAGGACTCCTCCCAGGCAATTTCTGCTCTGACCTGAAAGTGTCTGTAGTTCTACTTTTACTGAGACCAGGTTGAGCTGGACGCCCAGGGTCCGGAGGTCTTCCTGATTGCTTTGGAGAATGACTACTATCCAACTCTTGTTTCCTAGAAGAGTTTAAAAAAAAAAAAAAAAAAAGTGAAAATGGAAATTATTTCAAATCAAAGTAATATGAAAAAGCTATTGCTTATATCTTCAAAATTATGAATGTATAAATATTACTAAGATCCATTTTTGTAGCATCCTTTAAGTGTTCATAAAACTTTTAACACTTTTTTTTTCTTTCTTTTAATGGGTAGAGATTTTCAACAAGGAGTTAAAGAAAAAAAATTTGCTCTTATGATTGATAAAAATTAAAATATATAATTAGAAAATACTTATAATAAAAGTAATTTATCTTTGCACTTAATAGAATCTGACCTTAAAACTTAACTAAATGTAAGTTTAAATTAAAACCTCAATAAATCAATGCAATGTCAAATAAAGACATACATGTTCACAGAGTGTATTTTTTCTTTTTATCAAAAGTTATGATCAAAGAAAGTCTTCCAAATGCTAGCAGCATTGAGAATTAAAAATATTCATTTTTAAATGTAGGAGTCTGCTGAGACTTTTTTAAAACTTCATTTTGAGAATTTACATGAGCTAAATAGGGAATACAATGTGAAATAAGGGGAGTTTCTGATAATGGAGTTTACACAATGTTTTCCCAGGAATGCTAAAAAGTTTATAATCTATTTAATTTTACTTGGGCTTCTAGGGATCCAGATCACTGGCCAGGAGAGACTGGGACACAGATGTGGGTACCTAAAATCCTGAGAGCCCCAGAGAGTGACTGGGGATTATCCCCATGCCTCCACCTAGAAAGGCACTATTCATCAACTATTATCCTTAAAAAACTTTACAGACTAAGAATTTCTACATTCATGATTTAGACATTCTTGAGGAACAATCCCATCTTTATTCTCAAGACCAGTGTTATCTTTTTGAAAAAATAACTAATTCTTAACCCGAAATTTTTATGGGAAGCAACAATAGACGCTTAAATCATCTTGAGATATATCTTGTATCCATTTATCTCTTTACTCAGTGTTTGTTACATCATCTCCTAATGCCATTGATCGATTATTAGTAATCTATTATTGACATTGAGATTAAATGTAGCAAGTAATTAATTTTCAAGATATAGCTTAATTCATAGACGAATATATAAGATGTGTTTTTTAAAACAGCCTTGGAAACATGATACATTTTAAATGACTAGGGTTAAATAATTAAAATAGGAGTTTCTTACTTTGTGTATATCTATTGTTTTAGCCAAAAGTCATATTAAATACAGAAACTTTTAAAATAATTCATATTTCATTGATAAAGTTGCAGCTAAAAGAATATTCTAAATTAGAATTACGGAGAAAATCAGATTATAAGTCTTTTGTTTGATATATGAGGCTTTTTAAATTTTGAAAAATATGTTTCTTTTTCATTAAAGGAAACAAGAATAAAGAAAGTAACTTAGTAGCACCTAAAATATAATATGAGAATAGACATTTATAGGTTCTAATTTGGTTTATCAAAATTTATCTGCTAATGAGACAGATTACAAATATTTTATTTCCTAATCAATACTTCTTATGAATTAACTTTTTCCAAATTTCCTGACATAGAAATTTGAATACAGGTCGGGATGTAAGGGATAGCAGAAAGAAGCAGAGAAGCATTACTTCTAGGTAGCAAACACCTAGAAGAAAAGAAAATAATCTATAAATGGCGATGTATGCATAAAGTGATTTTCTGGTAAAAGACAAATAAGTAGATTCTGAATTTTTGCAACTTCCTCCAAGGAAAAGTTTACAATACATATATTCTACCATGTCTCTGTAGCCTTTACTTAAACAGAACTTAAAAGTGTTACCCTAGTTAATTCCAATAGTTCCAAGGTAGCTCTTAAAATGCACTGCTACATATTTCCATTTGGAGAAGATCATTCTGAACATTTCTTTATAGGTACACTATTCAGACCTTGACATTATTCTATAAATCTTCTATATTTACTTAATATATTGTACCATTCCCTTGAAGAGCACATGCTTAGGACTGATTACAGGTATGGCAATCCTATGAGTAATTATTAAGCATTTTGTTTAAATAACTTCCCTGTACAGAGTCCTCTAAATCTAACTTTAAGCAGAGTACCAAAAAAAAAAAATCTATCCTTAATTATGCTAAATTTTTCTCTCTTGAAAATACTACTAAACTTATTTTAATCATTGTTTTAATATTTCACTTAATCCATCATGTCTGCAAAACACCAAAAAATAAACTTCATGAATGCCAAATATTTGTGATGATCGGAAACAGCAGAATTGAAAGCAAGCTGCTTGCACCAGGAATTATAATTGCACGTACTTCCCACAAGTATAAGTTGTACTTTACTATAGAATCCCCATTAGAAAACAGGCATACAACCCTAAAGACTGTCCTATAATTTAAACTTAGTTTTAGTTGCTGTAACTATGTAAATAAAAGTAAAACACAGAGATCTTTGAGTGGCAAATGGAAACAAAATCAAGAGAAAAAATTGTCAATACCAAACAAAAATGTAAAGGTGCTATTGTCTTTTGGTGAAATTTTGTTAGGCGTAACAGTTTTACTGTTAAAGAAAAAGTAATTAAAATGCAATCTCCGCCTTGTATACTAGACTGTGAACTCCTAGAGAGAAAAGATATATTTCACTTATCTTTGCATCGTTAGAATCAAGCCTGGCAACTAGTAGATGAGCATTAATATTTGATGAATTAATGAATAAGTGGATGATTACCAATGAGTGAACCAAGGAATAAATATATCATGTATTTGTTTTACTTTAATGTTTCTTGAATTGCTTTCACTTAAAAATTCTTCTACAGGCCTTCTGAGATATAAATGGATAAATTCCATATTCTTTTTAGAACCTGGATTTGGCCTACACCTTTAGGAAGAAGCCCAGTAGAGGAGGCTGAAAGTAGTAAAGAAAATAATCAGTTCAGTTAGAATTCTTATTAAATATTCTACTAATCAGAGAAGTTTTTTCAATAAAGCCCTTCTCATATGATATATCTGGAACTGTAAATAGAATGAGTAGAAAAAGTAATGAAATTGCACTTCTCTGGGTATACAATGAATAAAAAATCCATGAGCATTTCATTTGTAACCTGTCATCTACTGCTAGCTTGTAACTACCTATATTTAGTACTGTCTCCCTTTTCATTTTACTATTGTCATCCTTAGAATTTTTCTTTCAAATTGTTAGCAGAAAACAAGATATTTCCCCTAAGATGAGGAAAACATATATGCAAATGTAGGAATGTAAAAGTATCTGAGGTAATAAAATCTTTTATAAATGGAACACAACAAGCAGTGACACTTGACAGTGCTGAGTCACACAAAATTTTATAATATTAGAAATATAAGCAACTTTGGGACTATCTGTTAGTTTATATATATTATATAAACAAATACCTATGCATTTATGCTCTAAGTGCCAGGATACAGGGACTAAGAGAAGCTAAGTGACTAATTCAAGGTCATAAAACTAGTTAGTCACAGAAATCTGGTATCCTCACTCCTGGTTTGTGGGAGGAGGAGATGGTTTACACTCCATTGAATTGATTTTTCCACATGCAAAAGAAAATTCACATATCAAAATAACCGAAAAACAATGTACAATTCAACAATTTGCCTGTAGCCATCAGTGACAGTGTCATCCACTGTTGATATTGATATTACCACTCTTTATATTTGTAGGGTTCATGTAAATTACAACTCAAACAAAAACATTCATGTCAACTTTTAATTGATCCTCAATGGACTCTCTAAGACAGGTAAGATAGGTATTATTAGCCTTATTTAAAGGCAAGGAACATGAGACACATTGACTGAGAAGTATTTGTAATTTGCTGAGTTGGTTAAAGTCAATAGGATAAAAACTCATGCTCTCAGTCTTTATTTTTAAGATTCTATGTTCAATTCACACCACTTAAGTGCTTAAAACTTCAAATAATTTGTGTATGCCTTCCTATATTAATTAAATTTACACAACTCTATAATTTTAAAAGTCTAAGTGGTAAACCAAATGTTTCTTTGGTTATCATACCTAGGGAAAACAACTTTAAAAAGTTATGTACCTTTCATAGAAATCTTTCAGTAAAATTTAAGAGCAAGTTGCAAAAGTCAGAAAATTATTGTTTATTTTTTAGTATTTGGATAAAGTTTTCACCAATAACTGTTTGGGCCACACACTACCTATTGATAAGATTTCCACCCTAACAAAATTATCAGTAGAGAGCTTTAAAAGTATACTATCTGATACAAATACTGCATGAAGCAACAGCTTAATAGGTGGAAATAACGTTTCTCAGCCACCCTCTGAACAGAAGAAAAGTTAGAAATCTAGAAATCAAAGATCTCACTGTAACTGGTATTGTTAACCAGCATGATAGACCTGTTGCTTGTGTCTCTTAGGAAAAAATATAAAAGATCGGGCATACAGTTCTAAAAGGCTAATAAAAGTATTGTACCTTGTTATTATCCTGTGAAAGTCTAGTGAATGAACACTAATTATTTTTTCCTAGTCAAGTTTTCATCAAGTAGAGGAAAACAGTACATATCATAAACTGGATAACAGAACAAGAAAGACTTTTCCCAAAGAAATAGCCCCATAGATTTCATAGTTTAAAAATACAGAAAAACATACTTAACATAAAGGGGCTAGTTTTCACTAGTACTAGCGGTTTCAAGATAAATAGGCTTTTTACCTCGTAGATTTTAATCATTTAAGATTTTATGTGAAAACACTGTCACTACCCATAAAACATTTTACATTTCTCCTATGATTATTTGGCAAAATTATGCTTACGTGATAGTGACTAAGTTATTTTTTTTAATCATTTGATAAAGTAGAGGATAAGGACCTACACCTATATATCCAGGTCTTTCGTGCTTACAATATCTCAAATGAAAATTGTAGGTTTCCCTTCAGTTGTCATAAAAGAGAAATTGTTTCAGGACCACGGACAGAAAACTGTTCTCTACTAGAGGGTGCAAAGTTAAAGGGTTTGTTTACAATAAGAAAAGCAAGGCAGGCACAATGATTATACCCTCTTAGTACTCTAATTAGAAAACAACTAATCTATTGGGATGAAGGAAAATGGAGAGTTACAGGCGGAAATGAGTACGTTCATATTACTGATTAGCTCTTATACTTGCCATTCATTCGCTTTGTTTTTAAAAGTATGTATTCAAAATTATTTTCTAAGGTAATAAAATTCACATGTTCTTCCCTAAACTGAAGGCCACTTTTGCATAAAAAAGAGCAGTGGCTTAAAAATAGCATATGCTAATTTAGAAATACATGTACAGCACCTGCTCTGCTGTGACCAAACCATCTGTTTAATGCCACACATATTTTAGGGTTCCTCAATTAATATAAAAGGTATATTCATTATATTCCTTCTACCTAAACAGCTTCTGCTCTCCTCTGGGGGTGGGGTGGCGAGAGAGGACAAATCACCTACAAGGGGATTAAAGTATTGTTACAGAAATATTTAGACATCATTCACAGAGAAAAAGACCCCGCAATGGCCAAGAGGTTTAAACAGAGACAGGTAAACACCCAGCTCTATCTATTTCCCAACACGTCCGTGTTGTATTAATGGAAGACTTCCAGATTAGTAAAACACTGGAGGGCGTCTCTCCACGCCATCCTAGAGGGAAAGGGCTCCAAAAGGCCAAAAATCACAACCTAAAATCACAGTTCCAAGAATGTAACCCTTGACTACCCCACCAGAAACTCTACAATGCATCATTTTTATTCCGCCCATCAAAAGGCTTAGGATCTCTTTATGATCACCCCATTGGGGAGAATAAAATGAACGGAGGCGACATATATGTACCGCCGTGCTGGCACATACGGGCTGGCACATATGTGCACGGGAAGCTGTACATATATGCCCGGACATATACATCATGCTGTGCATGCCTGTGCATGGAAGGCGACTCCGCAGCGGCCGGGGGGACGCTTCCCTTGGGCAGCCCCTGCGCCCTTGACATGACAGCGGCGATCTGTCTCCTCTCCTCTTCGCTCAGCTGGCTCAAATCCGCTTCCATGCCGGCCGGGACCGCGGTGTGCGAGGGGCTCCCCGCCCCGCTAGCCCCTCCTCCGGCCGCTGCGGCCGCCGCCAGCCCTTCCGGGAGCCCTTCCCCTTCCAAGCTCGCCTCGTTGCCCATGGCTCAGGAGACTCGGGGCCGCCGCGCTCCCTCCTCGCGCCGCGTCCCAGTCGAGAAGCCCGCGGCCAGGGGAGCAGTCAGAGCCGGGGTCCGCCTCGGGGCGTGCAGGCAGTCGAGTCCCCGGACTCCGGACTAGGCACTGCCTCCCGGAATGCCAGGAGGGAGTTAGTCCTGCTCGCAGGTAACGCCCGCTGCCGGTGCCTCCTCCATGTTGGACAGCGCCAGGCAACCTTTGCAGAAGACGCCTCCTGGACGCCGCCTCGGCGCCCCGAGCCGGGGAGAAGCAGATCTGAGCGGTGCCAGCCGGGCGCCGTCCGCCCCTCCCACCGCGCACCGCCTCCTCGCCCGCGCCCTCGCAGTGCGCAGGCGCCTCTCGGAACAGGTGATGCCCGCGGCCCACGCCCACCCCATCCTGCGTCGCTCCGGATCCTTCCTCGCTCTCAGCACCGATTTAAAGGAGCCCAGTGAACCCTTGGCTAAAAACGGAAGAAACAGGCGACGTTTCTTTCAGGCATATTTCAGGATGCCTCAACTTGAGTTTTAGCTTTCTAGACTCCTAGATTTAAAGGGGGCGGGAGGGGCAGGAGAGGAAATGTCTGTTTTCAGCTTTGGCTCTTGGGATTTGTAGTTTCATTTATTTTCTTTAAAAGAAGGTTTTAAAACATTCTAGGAAAGGGTTCGAGTAACTGAAGATTAGCAAGAGAGACCCTGATACCTTTAATGCACATTTCCCAAGGGAGCTAAGAATGGCCCTTTTCATTTAGCACTTTCACAGAACAATTCGATTGTTAATTAGATTATTTTAAATGGTACAATATTAGTAAGCAGCTAAGGTTTTGAGTGCATATAACTTGTTCTCTAAAGGGAGGGACTACACAATAATAAAAGTTTACGGGAAGTTGTGGACGTGGGGTTCTGCAGTAATATCCAGATTGTAAAAATATTAAAATGTTTTAGTATGAAATTTTGAAAACATAATTTTATTCCCCCACCCCTTTTTTAACAAATGTGGACAGAAGAACCCCAAAAAGTTAGTTTAATGGGTGACTGTTAAGTTACAGTCACACAATTGGTTAGCAGCACATTATCATAATAACCACTTTTTCAGACCCACTCTCGACTATCACTCCTACGCTTTTCTTGCTGTTACATTTCTTAGACGGGACTGTTCAGCACTGAATCTGCAGCCTCAATGTTGTTACCTACCTTTCCTCAGAATGTGAACTTAATGTCTTAGCTGTTGAGGTTAGGGAACAATAACGAATAAATAAATCAAACAGAAATGAATAAGTTGCTCAGAAAGTAAGTCCAGATTTTTGCAATAATCATTACGTAGTTCAATCTTGTACCTTCCAAAGTGAATTTGTAGTTTTGCAGTATAAAAGCACCAAAAATTACAACTGATTTTTAAACAATAACAACAAAAATAACGCAATCTCTTATAAGGGAACCAAATGCTAACATCTTTTGTAACAGATGCCAAAAAAAAAAAAAATGACATAGTGTATATTAATACCATAACTGCTTTTGTGTGTGATGTAATGAGTGATAAAACTGAAGCTATTCTCATCCTTTGTATGTTAAAAGTCCATGCATTTTTGTGTATGTATGAATTTACATGCTTGTATAACTATAGACAATATGGCTTGTAATATTTATATAGATGCATATGAAGGTCTTTTATTAATATTCCTTCTCTAGTAGAAGGCGAGAGAGGATTGTGTTCATTGAATGGAGCAAGAACCTGCAGTGGCTTAAGGTCCAACGCTTCATTTTTTGTTAAGGCTGAATTGCTTCTGAATTTCTGGTTTCAGCCACTTTTGTTAGCTTTACTTTAAAGTGGGATTTACAGCTAGAGTGGAAGAAATTCAAGTGAGATTACAACTGATTATAAACTGGCTTCTCAATTTTGAGAGAAAAATCATGAGAAGTATTTTAGTGAAAAGTTTGATAAATTTAGTTTTGAATTCTTAATATATGAAACATCAATTTTTTTATTTTATACTTAGTCCAAAGTGTATCTGTAATTTAAATAAAAGAAAAAGTCATATTTAGAATGTGTTCCTTAATGTATAAAATATTAAGTAATACAATTAGTTTTGTCACTTTACAATACTTGTAAGTTTAAAAAATATTAAGACATGAAGTTATAACTTAGATGAGCAGCATTATTTATTCAATCATTTTATAAATGGACTTTAGAATTTAGAACCTACTCTTTCGAGAATGGGCACATGTGTGCATGTCTTATTCTTCAGGATTTTTCTGTTGACGATGTCTGATTTTAAATCCTAGCTCTGCATACAAATAGCTATTTGGATTGGTAAGTCATTGGCTTTTCAGATGTTGAGGTTCCTTAACTGTAAGAGCAGAGAAAATAATGCTACTAACCTTACTACCTCTCAGGTTTCTTTTGACAATTAAATTAGAAAAAGTTGTGAATGCACTTGTAAACTAGAAATATATTATCAGAATGTGGTATATGGTTACCAGGCTAGCCTGGGAAATTACTGAGTTTTCCATGTTCTGAAGAAGCCAAGAAGGTGAGACACATGGAGAGAGGATCCTAGCTGCCCTGGCTTTATCCGTCTCAGCTGAGGCTTTAGTGAGTTCCCTTAGCACAACCTACCCCAGCTGAGCTACCTACTGGCTACAATCACATCAATGAACCCAGTGAGACCAGCAGAAGAACTGTACAATCAACTGAAAGAATTAGAGAATTAACAATAATCATGATAATCATGAGATGCTTTTTTAAGTCAATAAGATTTTGGGGGGGATTAGTTAAGCTATATAACTGATATTCCAGGTTTTGCACATTATGATTATACATAAGCCTTCAAAGTTTCCTTTCACTCTTTTAGTGAATTTTCTCACTTACTCTCCAGCTGCACTTGAGTTATTTGTTCAAAATTTCCAAATACCACCCTGCTAAACTATAAAGTGGAAAAGAACGCAATTATCTTGAATACTTATATGTGTGTTCCATGAAAGGTTCATACAAGAAAATATATGTGAAGACAATTTTTAAATGATGTAGCATTACCCAGACATAAAGTTATATAAGAAACGGAAGACTTGGGAGGGCATGGTGGCTCACACCTGTAATCCCAGCACTTTGGGAGGCCGAGGCGGGCAGATCATGAGGTCAAGAGATCATGACCATCCTGGCCAATATGATGAGACCCTGTCTCTACTGAAATACAAAAAATTAGCCGGGCATGGTGGCAGGCATCTGTAGTCCCACCTACTCAGGAGACTGAGGCAGGAGAATCGCTTAAACCCAGGAGGTGGAGGTTGCAGTGAGCCAAGATCACGCCACTGCACTCCAGCCTGTGAACAGAGCAAGACTCCGTCAAAAGAAAGAAAGAAGGAAAGAAAGAAAGAAAGAAAGAAAGAGAGAGAGAGAGAGAGAGAGAGAGAGAGAGAGAGAGAGAAAGAAAGAAAGAAAGAAAGAAAGAAAGAAAGAAAGAAAGAAAGAAAGAAAGAAAGATTTACTTATAAGAATTTTCTGAGGAACACTAATGTATTTATTTGAGAAATTGTTTGGAGTCAGGTGACAGTCTCAAGGTCCTACTCAAGAGGATTAGATTATAGGTTTACATGCCCTGCCTGGATAAAACCCTTGGGGTCAGAAATTCAAAATTATTTGTCGAATTTTACAAAGTTAATATACTGTGTGTTATATAATAGTACTTTTAATATTTATCCAGGAAAACCTGTTAATAGTCACATTAAACTCTAAAGGAGTTGAGATCAAATCAACTAGGAGATTCTCAGTTTTTCTGAGCCTGGTGATGGATTGGAGTTCAGAGATATATATATACACACACACACATATTGTTTTTTAATTTGCGGGGGTGGCATGGGGGGATGGAGTTTTGCTCTCGTTGCCCAGGCTGGAATGCAATGGCACAATCTTGGCTCACGGCAACATCCACCTCCCAGGTTCAAGCGATTCTCCTGCCTCAGCTTCCCAAGTAGCTGAAATTACAGGCATGCACCACCACACCTGGCTGATTTTGTACTTTTAGTAGAGACGGGATTTCTCTATGTTGGTTAGTCTGGTCTCAAACTCCTAACCTCAGGAGATCTGCCACCTCGGCCTCCCAAAGTGTTGAGATTACAGATGTGAGCCACAGCACCTGGCCTGGAGTTCAGATATTTTTAAAACAGCATGGGCTTATTTAAGTGTTCTGCAGAATAAAGATAAAACAACTTGAATTAGTAGAGTAGCATGAATTGGAGGACAAAAGTAGAGAAATCTGTAAGAGAAGGAGGGGACTTGATGCCACTTATTTTTGAAAGGTGAAAGAGAAATGTTCCCACTGCTAGCTCCATTGGCAATATGACCTATGGGACTTTGCAGGACCAACATGTCAGTGAGGCTGCAAGATGTTTCCTGTGGACTGTGCACTGTAAAACCCTGCCTCGTCTGTCTCATGCAAAGGCAGGAATGTCTATGTTGCTTAAGTGTTTGTACATTGTGATGGTTAATTTTATGTGTCAATTTAACTGGGTTATGGAGTGCCAGACATTTGGCTGAACATTGTTTTTGGGTGTGTCTGTGAGAATTATTCCAAATGAGATTAGCATTTGAATCTGTGGATTTAGCAGATTGCCCTCCCCAATGTGGGTGAGCATCATCCATCCTATTGAGGGCATGAATGGGACAAAAAGCAGAAGGAGGGAGAATTTTTTCCTTTCTGCTTGACTGCTTGAGCTGAACATCAGTCTTCTGCCCTTAGACTTAGATTTACATCATTGATCACCCAGCCCCCGGGTTCTCAGGTCTTCATGCTCCAATTGAATGATATCACCAGCTTTCCTGGGTCTCCAGCTTGCAGATGGCAGATCGTAAGACTTCAGCCACCATAATTATGTGAGTCATTTTCTTATTTTATAACGTGTGTATACACATATATATGTGTGTGTGTGTATATATGATAGATATAATAAAAAATATATCCATATATCTACATATCCAAATATATAGACAGATGATAGATAGATAGATAGGTATAGGTATATATCTCTCCATCCTATTGATTCTGTTTCCCTGGAGAACTTTGACTAATAATATATGCATGGTTTATTGAGAAAGGATGGGGTGGAAGTTCAAGGCATGGAAAGAGTGCAGGGCTTTATATCCATGTAAATACATGTTAAAAATATATACAATATAGATATCATGTACATACACAGGAACTGAGAGAAAAATACATCTGACGTATATGTTTTAGTCATTATTTTATGTACTAAAGTATAGGTTTATTATGGTTTATTATGGTCTTCAGAAGGCCCCATAATTTTCTCATGTGTTAATTTCAACCTACTAATCT